TTTTTTTTTTTTTTTTTGTTTTGATTTTGTGGGATGTGTTTGTAGTTTGTTTCATCTGTTCTTGTGGAATGTGTTTGTGTCTTTTTTTTTTCTCTTTTATATGTGTTTATAAATACATAAATTTGCAGTTTTCTTGTTCTTGTGGGATGTGTTTGTGCTTATAATTTGTTGTCAGCCAATCTTTTGTTTTTTTCCACTGATGTTGGAGTGCTTGACATTTATAATACAATTGTGCATTTTATTATTTATCCCTGAATGAGTATTCTTGGGTTAAGTTCTTTGAATAATGGTTTTTTTGAAATTTGTGATGTGGAAAGGATCTTGATGTATACTAGGTTTTTTGAAATCTGTAATGTCTTACAGAATCAACTTAGAATAGGGTTTGTAATACAAGAGTTGATGAGAACTAGGTTACTTGTCACTCTTAGATGTTTGCTTTGAATGTTTAGCATTTTGAGGATGTTAAAATGGCAATAGTTCTTGTCTGTGCTCATGGGACTTTATATAATTAATGGATCGTAATGCCCCTCCCCCATTTTTCAATGTCCACGAATTGTATTATGACGAAAGCACTTGTGAATTATGATTATTCCCGGCAGAAAAAGTTCGAGGAAAATGGTAGGCTTATGCCAGAGTTCGCTGATGAGGAAGAGCGTGAGTACTTCTGGTCATTTTTCATAATTCTCCTTTCTCTGTAGCCTTTTGTTTTCTTATTTTACATGGTTTTATTGAAAGATTAGATCTGAAGGATGAGTTGATTTAATTTTCAGGTGAGCTTTATGAGGCCTTGACTCTGACGCTCGAAAGTGATCTGAAAGTGGACGAAAGTGAGAGATTTACCTACTTTTTGTTAGTTTACACATGTGATTCGTAAATATAATGTTGCTATAATCCATTGCGATGTAATTTTAGTGCTCAAGGAGTAGTTGATAGTTTTTCTTTCATTTTGCACATGTTGAATATTTTTTTCTGTTGTAATTGAGATGGGATCAATATTGTTGAATTTTTGTGTTTCATACAGTGCGGCACTATGAAGTGGTGTATTTGATCCATGAGGATCATGAGGAAGAGGTTGAGAATGTCAATAACAAAGTTCAAGGTGATTCTAGCTTCCTCGTACAATTTCAAACAGTTTCCAAATATTTACGTGTACTTTCATAATGTTCAGTGTTCATATATTCTAGAACACTATGCGAGAAACAGGGAAATATTACTTTGTTTTACCTTGGATGCTAATTTTTGCCATTTTCTTTCTCCATTGTTCTCGGCTTAATTATAAAAAGAAAAAAAAAATGTATGTTGAAATTTTATTGTAAAACTTAACTATCTCTCAAAAATGTTACGTGAGAACCCCATATCAAAACTCAGGTGAACTTAAATATCATATGCCTCCGCTCTGACATTTTTGAGCCATTAATGTAGTCTTTGAAATGTTCCAAGTTATTTTCCGTTGTACTTCTCGAAAATAACTTTGGGAAGCTCGGTTTATAGAGACTGATTGTTCATTTAGGAGCACTCAAGTGCCTGGCTTTCTTGCTCTTTCTAGGTTAATTACCAAAGTTCCTTTGATTCTCAGTCTAGTTGTAAAAAAAAAATCTTTTCAAAATTACAAACATCAATTTCAATATTTTGTTTGTGTTTTACAAGTTGCATCTTCTCGAGCAAGTAGTTATTTGACAATGCAAATATAAAGACACGTCCTTTTACATCATAGGCTCCATTTGGATTGATGGGTTTGTTCTTTGTAGGTCAAAACACTAATATAAAATCCATCGAGTTTTCTTGGTAGACTCAGTACTTTTGCATTTATATCTTTACTAGCTATTGTGTTTTGATATGTTTCCTGATCCAAATACATGTATTTTGATGTGAAACCACTGAGGGGTAATTTCGTAAATTCCCAACAGAATTCGTGAAGGAAAAGAAAGGCAAGATATGGAGGTTCAGCGACTGGGGCATGCGCAGCCTGGCATACCCCATAAAAAAAGCAGATAACGCCCATTACATCCTCATGAACTTTGAGCTCGAAGCTAAATCGATAAATGAGTTCAAGAGCATGTTGGACAAGGACGAAAGGGTCATTCGCCACCTCGTGATGAAGCAAGATAAGGCCGAGACTGAGGAATGCCCTCCCCCTCCCGAGTATCATAATTTGTATGATGACGAGGATGCTGAAGATTGGGATGATGAAGATGAAGATGAAGATGAAGATGAAGATAACGACGAAGACGAAGACGAAGACGAAGACGAAGATGAAGATGATGATGATGATGAGGAAGATGATGATGATGATGATGATTATGAATATGATGAGGAAGATGATGGTGATTATGAAGATGATGACGAGGATGATGACGAAGATGATGATGATGATGATGAATACGATGATGAGGGTGAAATGGATGGTGAGGATGAAGGTGTTACATACGTGGATGATGTTGATGAAGAGGATGAAAGAGAAAAGGAGAGGAATAATTTTGCAAGTAAAAAACGAGAAGCTCAGCCTGAGGAGGATGAAAGAGAAAAGAAGAGTAAGAATTCTGCAAGTAAAAAACGAGAAGCTCAGCCTGAAGAGGATGAAAGAGAAAAGAAGAGTAAGAATTCTGCAAGTAAAAAACGAGAAGCTCAGCCTGTGTCAACATGAATACCCTGATTGAAAATCATACAGTTTGGATGTTGGGATTATTCAGCCGGATTTGTACCGAGTGGTTTCACAATCATATACACTTAAAAGATTGTGGCAAGTCATATATGTATGATGAGGTAGAGAAGTTTGGTTTTATGATTATATATTGAAATAGAATCGTGTTTTGCGCTTATGAGATGGTCCCTGCATTGAGTTTTCCGGTTTGGTCTGAGGGCGACAAAATCACCGAGTGAAACTGTGGATCGTAATTGTGTTTTACCTATTGGTGTTGAGCATTTTGCTTGCGTCTTGTTCTGTGTATTGTGTACACCTTTTTCTTGCATTTTCCATTTGGTTCCTGTTTTTAGATGCTTGTTGATGTTGTAATCTCTTGTGCATTTTGGTACCTGTTGTTGACAATTCTTCTACAGCTGAACTGTGAAGCTTCAATAAATTTTATTCAACAAACTAGTAATAAAAATATGTAACTTTCCTGTGCACATGCACAAAAAATAAATAAATAAATAAATAAATAAAATTATATGTTATATGTATTCATATATATATATAAAATTTCATATTAGATAATGAATGTATTACATTTTAAATTTTGATTATATGCAAATGTGTAATGTAAATATAAATTACTTAAATTACATATGAATATTTATATTGATGCTATAAATTTTAATGGACAATATAATTTAGTAATCTAGAGGAACCATACATCTAATTAGTTAGAAAAGTATTACAATTATTTTATCATTGTTAGATGATATGGATATTGTACACTGGACCGGTTCACCGGGCCAACTGAATAAAATGGGTTAGTGGTCTGGTTGAGCCAGACACTCGTAACAAAGGTAAGAAATCGAAGATAAAGATGAGCGAGTTTAGTAGCATCGAACAATTACTTGCTTCACCGGGCTCTGGTCGAGGAAAGAGATGGTCAAATAGAGGTGGCCGTAGACTCGACCACTTTATACCTCAGGGACAGCTCAGCAACCATCCCTGGCTTGGTCGAACATTAGGATATATGAGGGAATCTCCAGCACGTGAAAGGAGGACATGCGGTGCACAACGAGTGGTTTAGGGCGATAACGGTCTCTGACATTACCTGACACAATATGACGCGTTTCCTGACACCAGGATAGTGGAGGCGGGTGATCGTACGGTCAGGCAGTGAGAATAATCAGTTCGACTCGCCTGGGCAGCGCGTGGAGACAGGTAGCTCGTTCCTATAAATAGGGGTCAGATCTCTTGTTTTAATCACAATCTCTCATACACTTTCATACTTACACATATATTCATTTTCTCAAGGCTGACTTGAGCGTTGGAGGCTCTTCACCGGAAAATTCCCCCGGTGTGATAGTTTTCTTGCAGGTTACGACGTTCTACCGGCGAGCTCGAAGCGGTTCTTGACCGAAAAATTCCCCTGGTGTGAGAGTTTTCTTGTAGGTCTAAATGATTTTAAGGTGTTTAATTATGACACACATGCCAATTAACTAATAATAGATAAAATTCGCTTAAAAAGACAAAAAATATTTTATTTTAGAAAAAGCATTTTAAAGAAAAAAAAATTGCAATACAATTTTTTATAAGTATGTAACTTTCATATACTATTTAATCGAAGATTCTAATCAGTTAGGGCGTGATTGTTTATGAATTCTACAGTAAATATCCCACTCAAAATTTAAATTTAACTCAACTTTAACTCAACTCCACGATCTCCAATATTATCAATATAATTAAATAATATCAACCAATCATTATTACACATCACATCAACTTTCATTCACTATTCATTCACTCACATAATTTTTAACTAACCATCACTTTCAATCATTTTATCATACTTTTATATCAAATTAACTTTAATTATTTTAATTTAAATATTATTTTAATATATCTACTAATAACTAACCATATTACTTTTTTTTTCAAACTTAACTATAGTTAAGAAAAAAGTTTTTTTACTAGTTGAATTCATATCCAATCACCCCCTTAGTGTTAGTAGTAATATTATATAATAAATTAGTTTAAAATTGTTATTACACTTTATTAATGTAAAATGTAACATTTCTACATTAATTGAAAAAATGAGCGAGAAAATTATGAATGTTTTATTAAATAGGTTTTATTTAATACTGCCAGCAATTATATATATATATATATATATATATATATATATATAACTTTCAGTTACACAATTTATTTTGACATGTCTCATTTTAGATGGTGCTCATTTCTGTAATTTCTTTTTATATCTTGAAATACAAAATATTTGTGTTCATATTTTGATGCTATATATATTTAGGTATTATATAAATACACATTTGACAACCAATTAAGAATGACTACAAATATCTCTATTTTCTATTGTAGTCAAATAACAATTTTTTTTTCTTATATTACAAAGATATATCAAATATTTTCAGATCCCTTTAAATAAAACCCTCCTCCAAAATGGTCCTGCAATATATTTAAAGATTTTGATATTATATGCATAAATATAACTTATAATACTCTATGTTTAAAATTTAATATCATTGTCTAAATTATAATTTTAATATTAGATACACATAAATAATTTATAATATTTAATTTATAAATACACATAATCGACCAGTTTATTTAAAAAATTGCACATCAATATTGGCAGCATTCATATATAAGTGAAGGTTTTCACTTTTGCTTTCGGTTCCCATTTAAGGTCATGTCAGTGATTGGAAATTGAGTGTTCAAGTTTTGCACGATATATAATCTATTATTGGAACTGTGCACGTAACAAAATTAATGATCACTTTAATATTTTGGTTTACGTTCGTAAACATTTTTAATTCTGATTAGTTTTCAAATTTGGAATCTCAGTTGAAATTAATAAGAAAAAAAAATACGTTTTATTAAATGACAAACGGCTCACTTTTTAAGGAGATGTTACGGTCTCGTTACGAAATCATTCTGTCGGGGTTTGTAACCGTTAGATCATTAGAGAGATGTTACGGTCTCGTTAAGGAACCATTTCGTCGGGGTTTGTAACCGTTATATCAACTATCTTTGACGGTTACATGATGATCTAACGGTTATAAATCTCGACGGAATGATTTTGTAACGGGACCGTAACATTTTCCCACTTTTTATACGTACGACTACAACTAACAACTGTCATTTAATTAGATGCAAAATGATAATACTTGAGGGAACGACTACAGTCCGGTTGACGGAATGATTTCGTCAGTATTTGTTACCGTAAATTATATACACAACATAATCTACATGTGTATTTAATGGTGAAAAAATTTACTGAACCATCTCATAACGAGATCTTAACATTTTCCAATTTTTCAATAATTGAATGTTAACTTACCTGGACGGGGTCAATGGGTGATGAAGAAGGCCCATGGCCTAGGTTGGCGACCTCCATTGCATTTTGGAGGGGCGTCCGCCTAAGGTCGGCCCAAGTGGTCGAGCCTACGTCATAATTTGTGGTCGTGGGAAAAAGAAAAAAAAAAACTTATCTCCATTTTTATGCAAACTAGCCACTTGTCAAGTCTAAACTTTTGTTGCAATTTATTAACAAATTTGTTTCAAAATATTTTATGTGTTAACGAATATTCTCAATATCGAATAACTCACTAAATCGATTGAACTAGCTACTGATTCAATAGTTTATTGGCTGAACCAATATTTAATTAAATAATATTTTAAATATATGTTAGATTAAATAAATTATATATATGAAATCATCACTAATTAAATTAAATATTTGGATAATAAAAAACGTTCAAGTGCCTAACCGAGCCGGACAGTTGATCGATTCTGAGTCGATCTAGTTTTCAAAACAATAGTAGTAATTAAGTGAAATTTAAGAAATAAAAAAAAAATGATAAACACATTATATCAACTCCAAATGAAGATTTCTCTAAATCTACACACTAAAACCATATTATCTTGATTCCTTCATCAGTGGACAATATACATGCAAAGAAAATGTCAAAATATTACAGCCTAATCCTTCTCACAAAAATCACTCTCTTTGCAACAAACTCCCCATTTCAAGACATGTCATCTCTTTACACGTGTCATTGTTTCATCAATACTAAATCATATACTGGCAAAAGTTTGGTGGGCTATAAATATACATGCAACTAATTCAACCTGCATGAATCACACACACACACACACACACACACACACACACACACACACAAAATTACATTAGGACAAAGGAAAAGAGAAGAAAGTTGTAACTGCAAAGAAAGAAAAAAAAAAAGTCCAAAAAACACTAGTCCAAGTTCAAACCTTTCTACATTATCATGGCTCTAGCCACCACCAAAACCACCGTATTAGTGGCGGCCCTCCTCCTCGTCCTCGGCGGCTCCACCCCACTCGAGACCAACCGGCCCTTGGGAGGTGGTGGGGGCTTCAAGAAGCTACCAAAATCGGACGTCGATCTTTTGGAGTTCCCGTTGAATCTGGAGTACTTGGAGGCAGAGTTCTTCTCGTGGGGCGCTTTTGGCCGCGGATTGGATGCGTTGGCCCCGAATCTAACAAAGGGCGGTCCACCGCCGATTGGACCCATGAGAGCCAAGCTCAGCCCATTTACGAGAGATGTGATCGCGCAGTTTGCGTTGCAAGAATTCGGGCATCTCAGGTGAACTTTTTTACTTAATACATCTGAAACTTTTCACTTTTGAATTTGGAGATAGAATCAAACTTTTGCTTTTAGAGGGAAAGTTGAAGTTGTCTTTACAAAAAGAAAAGAATTACTAGTAGATTTTAGTTGATCAACAGCTAGCTTTCTAACTTGATGTCTTGATGCAGGGCAATTCAGAGTACGGTCCCGGGATTTCCGAGACCTCTCCTAAATTTAAGTAAAGAAGTATTCGCGACGATCATGAACGACGCGTTTGGAAAACCTCTCGTGCCTCCGTTCGATCCTTATGCCGATGACATCAAATATCTTATTGCAACCTATGTCATCCCTTACGTTGGACTCACCGGTTATGTCGGAGCAAATCCGAAACTCGAAAGCCCTGTTTCCAAAAGGGTATAGCAAAAAAAAAAAAAAAAAAAAAATCATATTCCATATTCCATTCGTCGTTCAATCACAATCGGTACACGAATTTGAAACAATCTTGCAAAAACATGATCAAGTTGTAATCCAATTCTTGTGATATCTTACTTTTACAAACTTTTGGTAATATTCATGCTTAAACCTGATTTTTGCTTGGATTTTATCGGCGATTTTTAGCTTGTGGCCGGACTTTTGGGTGTGGAATCGGGTCAAGATGCCGTCACTAGGACATTACTCTACCAGCACGCGCTTACAAAGGTATTTCCATATGATGTCACTGTGGCGGAATTCACAGACAGGATATCAAACCTCAGAAACAAGCTCGGGAAAAAGGGGTTGAAAGACGAAGGCCTAATAGTTGAACCGGAACTAGGGGCCGAGGGCAGAATCTCGGGAAACGTGCTTGCGGGGGATAACTACTCGCTGTCCTATGCACGAACGCCCGAAGAAATATTAAGGATCGTGTATGGGACCGGACGGGAGGACAAGCCTGGGGGCTTCTATCCAAAAGGAGCCTGCGGTAAAATAGCCAGGTCATATTTACAGCATTGAGGGGAACACTGGGAGAAGAAAACTTAAGAGTGCGAACTTTATGAATGGGTTTCTACTATTATATAATGTGTTTTGTGTTCTCTGTATTGCTTGAGCTTGGGGTGTACCAATTGTTATGAGTTATGTGAGTATAAACATACAACAGAGGCACTACAATAAGATTGAATTGCTTTGATCAATTCAAGACTTGAGTTCATTTACAGACTCGTATCATGTTTCACAATCACATTTTTATACTATTTATTTTCGTATCGTGTTTTAGGTCGTGCCAACAATTGTCACACCTAATCACACGAGCACATGTCGAAAATGGCAACATGCTAACAGTAAGACAATACCCATTATGGATAACCAATTCACAAAAAGCCTTCAACAGCACAAGACACTAAAACCTAACCAAGTACTCACACAAAGCTAAAACTAACAGTACTCGGAAATTACATGAAGCTATCCAAGAAAGTCGACCTCCTATAGAGACATGTTTTAAAGGCGATATTAGTCCCTAACGACTGTGTTACCATGGAAAAATACAAAGAAAAAGATACCAACAGTGACTCGTAACTAACATCCAAAAGGTTTTGAGATGTGCGTGGTCGAGTGTTTGGAATGACCAAAATGGCCTATCGTTTGGATGGTCTCTCATCATCGTCCTCTCCACCATCACTGTCGTCTGAGTCATCGTCCTTGGAAGAGCGCTTTCTCTTTGGTGGGGCCTCGATTTTTCCACCTGTATTATCCTCATCACCATCTTCTTCTTCATCTCCCTCTTCAAATTCCTCATCACCATTCTCTTGTGGCTCGAAATCACTGGCATCTTCCTCGTCCTCAGCACAGCCCACCGGCCTCACTAGGTACTCTGTTCCGAGATCCTCCTAAGAGCAACATACATAAGTTTCTGCGTTATTATAACAAATCTTAACTTAAGCAGAAACAAGGAGAAAAAACGACTCTGGTGAAATATAGTGATCCAATCATTTCTAGTAAAACTAGTCAGCAGGTATATATGATATGGCATTGTGCAAAAACAAATGTTGAAAGGGCTAACTTTCATCATTGCGAGAATCTACACAAAACCTCAGGTTCCTCAGTAGCACATCCCAAGCATTTAGAGTACCAAAAAAGCTGGCTTGAGGACTTGAACATAAAAAGGTTTCGTTTGATTCAATAAACAACTTGCAACTTTCACATGGAACTCGATAATGAGCAAAGAGGTGGTCAATGTGTACTAGATAAAGTTGCTCTATAGAAATGCTTGTGATAAATACTTAGATTTTTCTGAATATCGCAAATAACAAACATTCAAGATTTTCTATTCCCACAAAATAATATAATCTTATTGTAACTTTAGACATTTCAAATGACAAATAACCTGAACATGGGTCCAGATCTAACCAGTTTCAACAAGAATTCGATCAAATCAACAATCAGACATAGATAGAGCGCATATTTTTCTTTTTTAAAGAAAAATACAATAGAAACCCAGAAATGGATATATATAATTACAGATTCAAACAAGTATTAGCTTCCGTATGCACCAAACAGATCGATACTCCCGGCAAAAGCTCCAGATCTGACAACTCAAAGTACACATAAACAACAAACACTGCCATAAATAGCAAGAATCAGACAAACAAACACAGACAAATTAGCTCTAAAACTATGGAAATTCTAGCGCATACGAGCTCAAGCATGTACTGAAATTCTTAATTACTCCAAATCTCCATATCTAAATCATTTTTCAAGCACATACTTCATCTAATGCCACAAAAAAAAAAGAACTAAAGTCAACGAGAACAGTTTCTTAAGATAGTAGTTAAAAATCGAGCTTTTTAGAAAGTCCAGAAACAGTATTACCTCTTCTTCTTCTTCATCTTCGTCATCCCCATCATCGTCCCCATCAACCGAAGCTACCTGTGCCCTACCTCCACTGATGTTCAGCACTCCCTCCTCGTCCTGCTCCACCACCTCTTCTTCTTCCTCGTCATCATCACTGCCGTCAATTTCCTGCTCAATTTTTTTTGCTCAAATTCTATCCAAACAACAACCAGAAACAGCAAGAGCACATAAACTTTTAAAGATACAACAGAAGCACATAAACAAATGCACAAATAGAGTGTTACAGATTCAGAAAACCAAAGCAGAAAAAGAATCCAACAAAAGCTCCAGATCTTACAACTCCCAAAAAAAATACAACAAATTCTAACATATATTTCAGGTTTTGGACAAAAATGAACACACACACACAAATAAATTAGCTTTAAAGCTGTGAATATGCAAGCACACACTAGCTCGAGCATGTACTACAATTCTTATAAATTAGTCCACATCTCCAGATCTAAGTCGTTTTTTCAAGAACGAATTGCATCTAATGCTACCAAAAACAGTTAATTAAGACAGTGCAGAAAAAAAANNNAAAAAAAAAAAAAAAAAAAAAAACGAGCTTGTCAAAAATTCCATGAACAGTAATACAGTATTACCTCTTCTTCTTCTTCGCCTTCTTCCTCATCATCATCGTCGTCTCCGTTGTCGTCGTCGTCGTCGTCGTCCCCGCCGCCGTCGTCTTCATCCTCTCCTCCGTCATCCTCCTCGTCGTCTCCGTCAACCGGACCCGCCGCCGCCCTACCCCCACCGCTGTTCAGCACTTCCTCCTCCTCCTCATCCTCGCCGTCATCCTGCTCGTCCACCCCCTCCTCCTCCTCATCCCCGTCGTCGTCGGCGTCTATTTCCTGCTCGAGTGTATTCTCCTCCTCATCAAACACCGCCATGATTTTCACTGTAAGCTCTTTTTTCCTCAATTGTATTTTTTTATTTTTATTTAATTTTTTTAAAATTTTATGGAAGAAAATAAAATTGTTGAAGAAAGGGAAAGGAACAGAGGAGCGAGTGTTCATCTCTCAGGGGTGAAGTGGGACAAATCTGAACCGTCGGTTAGGGAATTCGACGAGGATAGATGACGTGGCGAAGAATCGACGGTGCAAATATGCCCGGCGTTTTTTCTCGTGAGTTTAACAAACGCGGCTGCGCTATATTCTTTTTTTTAATATTTGTATCACGTGATTCGCGCGTGAGGTATCTAGGGTTCAAACAGTACACACATATAATTGGAAAGAGTAATGCTATAGGTACATAATAGTGTACATGTACATAACAAACAAACAAAAAAAACATTCAAATTTAGTAGGACCTACCAAAATTAAAAATTAAGTGGACTTCACTCCATGTGAGTGTTATGTACATCTCTATGTACATTGTAGCATTTTCAATTGGAAATAAGGACTTTGTCCATCTTTTTAAAAATTTTGTTTACATTAATGGGAAATTTACATACATAAATTCTATATGAGAATTATTTGCAAATATACCGTCCCTATAAATTTTTATCATTTAAAGACATCTTTTTTTCACTATTACGTGAGTCTTTCTCTTCCCTGGATTTCTCTCTGCAATTAGGATATATTTCCCTCTCCAATTAAAAACCAGAAATTTAATTCATTTACGGCTAAAAAACCACAAGCAAAAAGGAAAATAAAAAAATAAATGACAAATATGAAGCTTAGAAAATAGGGATTGGAAAGCAAGAAATTGGTCTTCGTGATCTGTATATTTGTTCAGATATAATGTGTATGTATATATCAAATAAACCAGATCTAACAGTTCTCTAAAATTAACCATATAGTTATACATAAGATAAATAACATATAAATCACATTAAATCCATGATAAAATCATAATATACAATTCTGAATGACTGAAAAACCCAAATCGGATGTAGTTATACATAAGATAACAACATATGTCTACTTTACATGGCATTTTCAACTAACAACTTTGCGCACTCCAAAAAAACACATTATAGATCATGTATAACTAAAGTATAATTTGTGCATATGTTTACTACACTCCTTCGTGGCGGCGCACACAAATCGTGAGCTACGCTTTTCCTCTTTTGTCATCTGCACCGGCATGCCCAACCGCTCTGCAGTCTTCATCTTCTCTGGATATCAGTGACAGTAGCAATGCCGTCGTGGACAATAGTAGGTTCACCCCTTCGATTCGACGACGCCTCCGTCAAAAGGGTGTCAGTGTCTGCTTCGATGGCTCGTCTTCGTCGCCCAAAGGATCGACATCCTCGCCATTGACAGGGTTTTCCAATAAAGGTGTTTTCGTCGTCGCCATCTTGTGTGTGTGTATATGTGTGTGTGTTCGGGACTTAAAAGTAATTTTTGTGTGGTTGGAAAGGACAGATTGAGAAGCTGTTTTTGTGTGGTTGGTGTAGATTTAATTTTTTCTTTTTTTTTTTGTCTTGTAAAAGAAGATACAAGGGAGCCGAAGATATAGGGAGAGAAAAGCGAATCTTTTTTTTTTTCTTGATTTATGGTTGAGTATGGAAAGAAGCTACGGTCCACTAATTAATTGCCGAGATCGTATTTGTGATTACAAGATTCTCATCTTGTATTATTAATATTATTTATCAATTTATCAGTAAGGGGAGTAATTTTCTCTACATTAATGACATGACAATGCATCAACATCAAAGTTATTCCATCTTTTACGCCTTTAGAGCATTTCTAATGGAATGTCAATTGTAGAATTGTAGAGGCATGGAGACAAAAAAAAACTTCTTCAATGGTGAGCTTCTTACTTTTACATGTGATGATGTGGCATGAGAGATACTCAAAAAATTTAGAAGTTTTTCTACATGTGAAAGTCCTTCTGGACTTGATAAAAGAAAAAATCAGTTGGTATATATTTCGTTAATGGTATATATTATAAATTTAATGGTTTATGTTTTGTTAAAATTATGCATTAAAATACATAATAAAGATATTCTTCAACAAATATTGATACAATAATAATATCAGTTGTGGGTACAAGAATAAATACCGACATTATACAATACACTACGATTCAGTACAAGAATAATTTATATTATTTTGTCACTCACGCTCTAATTCAGTACAAGAATAATTTATATTATTTTGCCAGTACTCTTCAACTATGAATAAAATTTTCGAAGGTGTTTTGTTGAAAATCATGTTGGTTCAAATATGTTCGGCCTGCAAAGTATGTCATTTTGCTAGAACAAAAAAAAA